ACTTATCATGCACTTATCGTACTTAGGATATTTTGCTAATCCTTTTTTGTGTTTGTTTTGGTTTGCCATGTTTACTTTAATGGTAAGCAGTGTTGACTTTTTCAGGTGGAGTCATGTATGAGCATATGAGAGTCCCAGAATTTGCTTCACCTAGTTTAGGGAATGTTGGTTTTTGTCTTTATTTTGAGTAGTCATAACAATGGTTACTATTTTTATAATTATTAGTAAAGAAAGAGTTTGAGTTTCCGCTGCAAAGTTTTGGTATTAATTTAGTAATTGAGTAGCCTTGCGTAATCAGACGACGGTAATAGGCCTAATTAAGTCTATCTCTACGGTATAATTATAAGTACTATACTATTATTTTCGTAGAGAGAGATTTGGGGTGTTACATAGTGGTATTAGTTTTCCGGTCCTAAAAAGATTAAAATTGGGAATAATAAAAATTGTGGCTAGACTTAAGAGGGCATATAGGATAGAGTTTCGCATTTGTGTGTGAAAGTCAAAAGCATTATTTTTGAATAAAAACTATTTTCTTATTTGGAAAGATGATTGAGAAAAGGATTCTCAAGTTTTCTACGAAGGCCTATAATGGGTACGACTCTTTGTCTAGGTAAGGCTCGCCTCGACGCTATAGGTAACTTACCTAGGAGACACGGGCTCGACCGTCTAATATCATGATTCAAGTACATTATTATTATTTTCGAAAACAAAAAGAATTGAAACTATTTGAAAGCTTGAGTCTGTGTGATTCCTTGTGCATTAAGTTGGTGTTATAACACCTTGGTCTATGGTCAAGAGGTCCGAATTTTTTGAGTTTGTTGCCCATAGTTGGGTAATCTTGAGTTATATATACTTGGTTAATTGAGTTATGAATTGCTTATGCAAATGGATTTTGTGAATTGAATTGCTTATGTGAATTGGCATAGAATTGATTGTGTTTGCATGTGTATGTCAACAGATGGAAATGATTGATGAAATGAGAAAGAACTACTTTAATTTGCACTATTTAAAAGATGATGGAGTCAGTGTTAGTGAATTTTTGACTGGCATATTTAACCTTGTCGTAGCTCTCTTTAATAAATATGATCTTGAGGAATCGTTGATTCAACCACCCTTGATTGTTATTTTGGCCTTAGCCCATTTGCCTAGAGTCTACAAGAACATACCTCTCTTTGACAAAAATGGGGATGTGATCAAAGATAATGGAATGTGGAATGAACACATCATCATGAAGGAAAATGGTTAGCAACTATGTCTAGCTTCAAAAGAGACTTGCATTATGTTGAATGTGACTATAAGCCTAGGAGGAGAATTGTGAAAACACCCAAACTTGGGAGGAATTCTATATTGAGAGAACTTGACCAAATGTACCACTTGAATGCTCAACTACCTTTTGTGTATCGAAAGCGTCACAATGAATTTGAGTCTTCCATTGATGAGTTCATACCACCTCTTGGGAAGAGAAAGAATTACCCTTCTCTGTCACCTACTCCAAGTTATGACACTTCTGAACTCCCAAAACGATCAAGTCCAAAAGCCCACTTTCATATTACCCAGAGGCCCATAAATCTTAATTGTTCTATCGACCAAGATCACCAAGTCCAAAATTTCATCCACTTTCACCAAGAGTTTAACAAAAGCCTAATGTTTCTTCAAATCCAACTTGTGGTCGTGCTAGTCCACATAAAAGCCCAAATTACATTCCAAATCGAGTTCAGGCCGTACTCCAAGTTACAGTGGCTATAATCCAACTTTCATGACTAACCCAAATGATAAAGGGGAGGCTAAGAAAGACGATCCTGACTATGATCCCAATGAGGATGACTATCCTGAGAGTGTTGCTTGAATGATTGAACTATGTTAATTGCTTTCACTAATTGCCTTAGATGGCAAAGTTGTGATTTCAATTTAATTATTAATGAAATGAAGTTATTTCATTGATTAATTTTTTATTTCTCATGTTCTTGAATGAATTGAATGCTTATATGAGTAGAACTTGTTTTAATTTTCAAAGTATGGCATAGATACCCAGGAATTATGTCTACAAGAATGAGAAACCAAGTGTGAAATAGGCACACAGGTTCCAAAGTAGGGAAGGTCCTTAGAAAGCTAACCTGTATCACTGAAAACATCACGAAAGTGGTGAACCAAGAAAACCGTCATTCTGACCTTGACTCTTACAGTGAAGTTTGAAAGTGAGTACCTGCAGCCAAACCACCTGTTTACCTGGGAAAAGAGGACCCAGCCAGTCTTGAAAACTGGATTAGGGAATTTGACAAGTTGTTTGATGCTATCAATTGCCCAAGTGAGTTGAGGGTGAATAATGGTGTTTACTATCTGAGGTAGGAAGCTGACTTATGGTGGGTCTAAAGAAAGGATGAGTTGTTTAAAAGACCAAACTTTGGGTGGGATGAGTTCAAGGAAGCTTTTAGGGAGGAGTTTTACCCTTCATATATGAGGAAGCAGAAATGTATGGAGTTTACCAACCTGCGAATGGGGAACATGTCTATTAATGAATACTGCAACAAGTTCATTGAGTTAATGATATTTTCCCTAGAAGTAGTTCCCACTTAAACCATCAAAGCTTAAAGATTTGAGCAAGGCCTAACCTTGACCCTCCAAGGGAAGCTAGGGGAAGTAACTTTTGAAACCTTAGATGAAGTCTATGGTCATGCAGCCCACCTGTATGGGATCAAGGGGAGTGAAATGGAGCACTCTAGAGAGAAAAGGAAGAACTCAGACTCTTTTCACGGGGGTGAAAAGATGTATAAGCCCAATGGTAGCCACCAAGGGAATTTTGGAGATAAGAGGGACAACAAAGGGAACTTTGGGAAAGGGAATGGAGGCTAGTCGACCAATGCTAAAGGAAATGGGAGGGGTGATAAACCCAAAAGGATGTAATTTTGCAAGCGGTGTGAGAAAGACCACCTAGGAAAGGATTGTGATGGGAACCTAATAACTTGCCGTTACTTTAGAAGTTAGGACACCGTGAGTATGAGTGTTTCAAGAAATAGGCTGACATTGAGGGAAGGTGAAAGAGTCTAGCACTCTTAGTAAACCATCTCAGCCTAGTAGACCTATACCCAAGGTTGGAATCAGTAGCAGCGTGAGAGCTACTCCCAAAGGGTCGTGTGTTCGTGATGAACAATCGTGAGGCTGAGACTTCTAATGATGTGGTAGTTGGTGTTTTCTTCATAGGTTCTTTGTCTGTGAAAGTTCTATTTGATTTAGGTGCATCCCATTCTTTTATTTTTAAGACCGTAGTTGAAAGTCTTGGGTTAATGAGTCCTGAGTCAGTTTTCCTAGATGTGTTTATTCTGTTTGGGGAAGTAAGGAATTGTTCCAAGTTGTTTAGAAGTGTACCTCTTTCCATCTCTAGGGATTTTCGTCGGATTTGATCGAGTTTGATATAAAGGATCTCGATGTGATTTGGGAATGGATTGGTTGGGAGTAAGAAGCCAAGATTGATTGTGTAGTTGAGAAGGTTACTTTGAATAGCCCAAATAAAACTAGGGTGACTTATAGAAAGGAAGGGAAAAGTTTAGGGTTGAGAATTGTTTCTAAAATGTAACTATAGAAGTTTGTTAAGAAGGGTTATCCCCTGTTTCTACAATGTGTATTGATTATAGTGATTTGAATAATGTTACAGTGAAGAATAAGTATCCATTACCGAGGATTAATGATTTGTTTAACCAACTAAAAGGGGTTGGAGTATTTTCGAAGATAGACTTGAGGTCAGGTTACCACCAGTTGAGGATTGCAGAACAAGATATCTCGAAGAGAGCTTTCAAGACCCGTTATGGTCATTATGAATTCACATATATTCCATTTTTTTTTACCAATGCACTAGCCGTGGTCATAGATTTGATGCATAGGATTTTCAGGCCATATTTGGATAAGTTTGTAGTGGTGTTTATTGATGATATTTTGATTTATTCAAAGGATAAAAAGGAGCATGAGGATCATTTGAGGCAAGTGTTGTCACTTTTGAGGGAGAATCAATTGTATGCTAAGTTGTCCAAGTGTGAATTCTGGTTGGAGAACGTGGCATTTTTGGGCCATGTGATTTCCAAGGAAGGAGTTTCACTTGATCCAAGTAATATTCAAGTTGTCAGTGAATGGCCAACCCCAAAAAATGTGTCGGATGTTAAGAGTTTTTTGGGTTTGGCAGGTTATTACAGAAGGTTCGTAAAGGGTTTCTCAAGGATTTCGAAAAAGGAGTGTAAGTTTTCATGGACTCCGGAATGTGAAGAGGCGTTTCATATCTTGAAAGAAAGGTTAACCACAACACCTATGCTGGCTTTGCCTGATGGAAGCGATCTATATGAAGTGTATAGTGATGCATCGAAGTTTTGATTGGGGTGTGTTTTAATGCAAAATCGGAGAGTGATTGCGCATGCTTCAAGACACTTGAAACCACATGAGGTAAATTACCCAACCCATGATTTGGAGTTAGCTACAACTGTGTTTGCTTTGTAGATTTGGAGGCATTATTTGTATGGGGTGACTTGTAAGATTTTCACATATCACAAGAGTTTGAAGTATATTTTCACCCAAAGGGATTTGAATGCAAGGCAAAGGAGATGGTTGGAATTTCTCGGTGATTATGAATTGGACATTCAATACCATGAGGGTAAAGACAATGTTGTGGTAGATGCTTTGAGTGGGAAGTCAAAACATTCGATGACTGTAATGGTGTTACCAGATCAGTTGTGTGTAGAATTCCAGAAAATGAATTTGGAAGTGATGGAGCATGGAGAAGTGACTAAGATGTTAAACGCATTGGTGATTCAACCATCCATTTATGATGAGATCAGGGAAAGTCAACTTGAGGATGAGAAGTTAAAGGCTATTAAGAAGAAGATCGATGAAGGTCAAGTGTTGGATTTTACCATTGGTGATGAAGGCAGTATTTGTTTCAAGGAAGATGGTGTGTGCCACATAGGCGTAGAGATTTAAAGCAGAGGTTGATGGAAGAAGCCCATAATTTTCCTTATTCAATGCATCCTGGAGGGGATAATTTGTATAAGGATATGAAAAAGACATTTTGGTGGCCCAATATGAAGAAAGAAGTAGCTGAATTTGTGGCAAAGTGTTTGACATGTCAAAAAGTGAAGATTGAGCATTGTAGGCCTCAAGGAAAGGTCCAATCATTAGAAGTGTCGAGTTAGAAGTGGGATTCGATTTCTATGGATTTTCAAAGGATGGGAATGACACTATTTTGGTAATTGTGGATAAATTGACGAAGTTAGCAACATTTATACCATGAGAAGTACTTAGACTATGGATCAGTTGGGAAAAGCTTATGTGAAGTTTATGGTAAAGTACCATGGGGTACCCATGGATATCATTTCAAATAGAGATTCAAGATTCCTGTCTAACTTTTAGCAAAGTTTACAAAAGGCGATGGGAACAAAGCTGTTAATGAGCACAACATTTCATCCTGCCACGGATGGACAGACTGAGAGAACAATTAAGACATTAGAAGATATGTTGAGAGCATGTGAGATGGATTATCAAAGGTCTTGGGAAGACCACTTGGATTTGATCGAGTTTTCTTACAACAACATTTATATATCATGCAAGCATTGGTATGGCTTCATTTGAGGCTTTGTATGGTTGGAAGTGTAGAAGCCTAGTTTACTGGAATGATATAAGTGAGACAATGGTGCTTGGGCCTGAGATAATTGAGGATATGATGAAACAGGTGAAGTTGATCCAAGAAAAAATCAAGGCAGCCAAGACCGACACAAAAGTTATGCAGATTTGAAAAGAAGGGATGAAGAATATCAAGTAGGAGAGAAATTGTTGTTGAAGATTTCACCCATGAAAGGGGTAATGAGGTTCAGAAAGAGAGGGATCTAAGCCCAAAGTACATAGAGACATATGAAATCATTCAGATAGTAGGAAAAGTGGCATATAAGTTGGATTTGCCCAATGAGTTGGAAAGGGTTCACAATGTGTTTCATGTGAGTCAAATTCGAAAGTATGTACCTGATGTGGCACATGTGCTACAACCCGAAACCAATGAGATGGATGAGAATTTGACCTATGAGGAAAGGCTAGACAAGATTTTGGATGCAAAAGTGAGAAGCACGAGAAACAAGGATGTGAAAGTATTATGGTCAAACCATAAAACTGAGGAGGCTACATGGGAAGTCGGGGCTGATATGAGAAAACGTTACCCAGAATTGTTTACCTAAGGTTAGTGGTCGAGTTACAAGGACGTAACTCCTTTTAAGAGGGGTAGAGGCGATAGAGTTTAGCGCGTTTGCTTTTCGAGTCATTTTGAGTGATTTTTGAGTTTTTCTTGAGTTAGTTGTGGTCTTGAGTCGGGTTAGGATATGCATGAACCAATAACTTAAAATGATTTAATACGATTTCTTCGTATCTCTTTGGCTAAGTTTCGAGTTGAAACTTCTTTTAAGGGGAGTATACTGTTTTTCTTGAATTAATATCTTCTAAAAAGGGTATTTTAGTAATTTATTTAATTATTTGAATTTTTGAGCCAAAATGATATTTGAATTTTGGCGCCAAAAACATTTTCAAAACTCAATTATTATTTTGGATTTTGGAAAAGATTTGTTATCCATTTATTTTATTTTAAAAACCAGATTATATATATATATATATATATATATATCGAATATTTTAAATTAACAAAAATTGTATTTCTTATTTATTTTTAAAAAGGGCCGAAAATTCTATTTAATTAAGCTAGGAATTTCGGATTTTCTAGGCATAGAAAATCTGGTTTTTCATGATTACTTAATTAGTTTTAAAGTTGATATTTTCCTAATTAATTATTTTCTACAAAATCCATTATTTACACGCACAATTGTTTTTAATCCTTAAAATCTAGCAAAATAATTCCTAAAATCTAATCATGAGGGCCGAAAATATGAGCTTAGGAAAGCTCAAAACTTTCGGCCACCTTGGGTGATTTTTGAGCATTTTATTTTGGTAGTTTTGTATTTTAATTATCTTCCTTAAGTTCTCTTATTTCCTTAGTTCCTATTTTCCATCTCACTAAGATTTGATCATACAATTTATTTGACTTAAATTTTTCTTGATTGTTCCCCAAGCAAAGCCTACTTACCATTTAATATTTCATGATTAAACACTCACCTTAATTCTTCATTTCTTAATCACAATAAACTAGACTTTCCTAAATTCTTAAACTCTCTTTTTCAAGTAATTCCTTAAAATAAATTTACCATATTTCTTCCTACATTTTCCAACCTTAACTCTTGCATGCTCAACCTATAAATACCCCATGCATCAAAGCCAAAAACCCACACCAAAACTCTCTTCTTTCTCTCTAATCTGTCACGGTTTCTCTCCTCCTCCTCCCACGGTTTTTGTGCAAACCCTACACCCCAACCATCGTCTGTCACCACCTCCGACCAGCCACAAGCAGCCACCTACCGACGTGCTGCTACCCAGTCATGCCTCATCTTCCTCCTCTTTCTTCGGTTTTCTACTTCTTCTTCTCTTCTCTTAATTAATTATTGTTTTATAAAAAAATATTATGAGTGTTTTAAATTAAATAAAATCTTTTTATTATTCAAGTTTATGAAAAGAATTTTAAAAGGTTCATGTACATATAAATGGGGGTTTGTTTTAATTATTGTGACTATTTGATGACCTTATATTGATTAAGGTTATATTTATTTGTAGGGTGTTTTGTACAAAAGTGCTTAAGGTTCTTTTTGTGTTTTCTAAGCAAGGATCAAGGTACGTTTAGGTGGCTAGATACCTTTGAAATTTTTTGGATTGAATAAGCATGTTTTGTGTGATTTTAATGATGATTGAATTAAATTATGATTTATGAAATAATCTTGAGAATTCATGTTTAAAATAAATATGTTTGAAAATGGATTTTTAAATATCATGTTTTGAATGGCTTGAATTATTTATCATGATTAAAAGGTTTGATTTGGAAAGCATGTTGAATTTATAATAAAAAGTGTTTTGAGTTGAATTATTATAAAGGATTGAACTATTGATTTAAAGTGAAATTATTTAGTTATTGAATTATTATTAAAGCTTTACAAGCATGATTATAATTAATCCAACTATGCGGATTTGGCAGATAACGTTTTGGACTTTGTATGACTGTGTCTTTCCTCAAGGATATTCTTTTAATATAAAGATATTGACTTGGGGGGTGTGCACACATAGGAGAGGAATTGGGTTTTTAAAAGAGGAATTGATTTATTAATCACTATGATTGAATTATTGAGTTATTGGAAATATTTTGAGAATTGATTTTGAATTATGTGTTTGGAATTATTGGAACTGGTTTTTAAAGCATGTTTGCTGATAAATTGAGTTTACTTATCTTTGTAGGAATTTTTCAAACATCAACTTTGAGCCCCACTGTGATCATGCTTTTAGGTATGGTGGCGTCCAAAGGGAAGGAAGCTAGAGATAAAAGAGTCCCCAATAAGTTTTAGGAACTTGTAAACCATTCATAGGTGTGAAGGTTACACCCCATTCACGATCACGGAGATCACTAACTCCATAGTGGTTCGGAACCATGACTAGATATTCGGGGATGATGGTACTATACGAATCCAACCTAAAAGAGATTGAACCCGCCCTAAATCGGCCTCTACTTAATCTTTATGATATTCATGTGCGCTTTTCGATCAACATACATACATCAAGTTAGCCCTAAACCTGTTTAATTTACGTTAGTTGATTTTTAATGCACAAATAAACCTATTATTGGCGATCACTTGAATTAAAATCATGATAGCCTAAATCAAATTATTAATTAGCTTATTAGGTATGATTTCAAGTACAAATTCCCTTTAAACTTGCAAGAAAGGGCGTGATCAAGCAATAACAATAATCAAGAATAATCAAGCAATGTAATAATTGACACAACAATCATCATCATAATCTCATCAAAACATTATTAGCAAGATCTTAGGCATGATACTAAATAGATTAATAACAAACCCTAGCATGTCACTAAATAATTATCAAAGCATTAACCTAAACAGGATACTAGAAATCAACATGATATTAGAAATACTAATTAACACCCTAAACATGATACTAGAATCAAAATAAACATCTTAACATGATACTAGGAATTAAAATAATATCTTAAATATGATTTCTATATCAAAAGAATAATTAAGTAATCGAATTACTTACTTTGATGCCTTGTATCTCTATCTATCAAAATAATACACACGTTAGTAACTTCAAGAAAGATTAAATAAAATGAAGCAAATAAGAATTGAAATACAGATTTGGGACCAAACCCTAAGACCTATCAACCTTTCACGTCGAGGTCGAAGGCAACTTAGAGATTGACTTGGAGTATTCAAAACTCGTGAAGGAGGTATGGTGTATGATGTCGAGAAGGTGTTGGGATGTATTTAGGCTAAGGCTAGAAAGAAAGAAAGAGAGAATAAGCTTTTAGCTTAGAGAGGGGATTAAATGATGATTGTTGGTGAATGAAAACAGGGTGAAACGACCTCTGTTTATAGGGAAATAAGAGGGTCGAAGGGATCAGAAAAGAGTCAGAAATCAAATCAAAGTAAAACAGACTTCATTGCGGAGCGACAGCCCTGTCGCAGCGCGATGGCGCTGTCGCTCAGCGATGGTTTTTGAAAAGATTGAATTTGTACGGAATCCAACTTCCGATGGAATTGGGTTAATTAAATTCCCGTACGTATTCTAGTTTGACTGGGATTAAATTCATTAAAAAAAATAAATGTTTTACTCAAAGTAAAACTCTAAAAATCCTTATCTTTTCGAAAATAGGATAAATTAGAACCTTCTAGAAGATAACAATAAATCCTAATTGGATTAGGAATGAGGTTTTAGGTTAATGGACCCTCCGCATGGTCATTAGGTCGCAGGTCAGGCTTGGTTTGGGCTCAATTTAGTATTTTGGCAATAACTTCTTGGTTATAAGTCGAATTTGGGCTTATAATATATCGTTGGAAAGATCTTTTCAAGCCCCTATCCAAATATAAAATAATTGGACCAAGATTATGGTCCAAATTAGCCTGGTTTGGACATTTTTATAAAGAGGACACGAAATGAATGATTTTAAAGAGACGAAATGAATAATTTTAGGTTTAAAGGCACGAAATAAATGATTTTGAGCTTAAAACATGTAAGGAAAAGTTAGAAATGGTCAAGGCTTAGAAGAAATTCACGAGAATCTTCAACTCTTCACTTAACTCGATAAATCAAAGACGTGAAAGGTACTCATCACTAGGTTTGGTTTTTGGGGAGACACAATCAGGTGTCTACAGAAGCCCCCACTTTGACTAAGTTTGGAGAAACGCAAGTTTCGAAAACAAAAGTCAAAGTGAATCGGTAAGGACAGAGAATGATTCAAAACGTTCTGCGATCCCAAATCATCCTTTTTAACGCCAATATCTGCAGAAAGCGTTAGTTCTATAAGTAAAGGAGTTAAGGGGAAAGAAACGTGTATCTTGCACCATCAGGTACACGTCTGTGGAGGACATCTCGTCAGATCAAATCTATTCTATTTGACAACCTCCACAATCTTAGTGAACGCCGTCGAAGATCGGCACATCTCGCACCTTCTTCTCAAATCAAGTGACAACTTTCTCAATCTTAGAGAATGCTGTCGAAGACCACTACATCGCGAGTTATCTTCTCAAACCGGGTGACAACCTCCACAATCATAGCGAAATCCATCGAAGACCGCTACATCACGAGCCATCTTCTCAAATCAGGTGACCACCTCCACAATCATAGTGAAAGCCGTCGAAGATTGGTACATCACGAGCCATCTTCTCAAATCAAGTGACAACCTCCACAATCTTAGCGAAATCCATCGAAGACTGCTACATCTCGAGTCATCTTCTCAAATTAGGTGACAACCTACGCAATCTTAGCGAAAGCTGTCGAAGACCGCTTCATCACGAACCGGCTTCTCAAATCAGGTGACAACCTCCACAATCATAGTGAAAGTTATCGAAGACCGCTACATCATGAACCGTCTTCTCAAATCAAATGATAACCTCCACAATCATAGCGAAAGCTATCGAAAACCGCTTCATCACGAACCGTCTTCTCAAATCAGGTGACAACCTCCACAATCATAGCGAAAGCTATCGAAGACCGCTACATCATGAACCGTCTATTCAAATCAAATGATAACCTCCACAATCATAGTGAAAGCTATCGAAGACCGCTTCAT